GTTCTATTTTTGTTTCATCAGACCAGAGGACATTTCTCCAAAAAGTACGATCTTTGTCCCCATGTGCAGTTGCAAACGTAGTCTGGCTTTTTAATGGCGGTTTTGGGCAGTGGCTTCTTACTTGATGAGTGGCCTTTCAGGTTATGTCGATATAGGACTCATTTTACTGTGGATATAGATACTTTTGTACCTGTTTCCTCCAGCATCTTTACAAGGTCCTTTGCTGTTGTTCTGGGATTGATTTGCGCTTTTCGCACCAAAGTACGTTCATCTCTAGGAGACAGAACGCGTCTCCTTCCTGAGCGGTATGACGGCTGCATAGTCCTATGGTGTTTATACTTACGTACTATTGTTTGTACAGATGAACTTGGTACCTTCAGGTGTTTGGTAATTGCTCCCAAGGATGAACCAGACTTGTGGAGGTCTACAATTCTTTTTCTGAGGTCTTGGCTGATTTCTTTTGATTTTCCCACGATGTCAAGCAAAGAGGCACTGAGTTTGAAGGTAGGCCTCCAATTGACTCAAATTATGTCAATTAGCCTATCAGAAGCTTCTAAAGCCATGACATCATTTTCTGGAATTTTTCAAGCTGTGTAAAGGCACAGTCAACATAGTGTATATAAACTTCTGACCCACTGTAATTGTGATACAGTGAATTATAAGTGAAATAATCTGTCTGTAAACAATTGTTGGAAAAATTACTTGTGTCATGCACAAAGTAGATGTCCTAACCGACTTGCCAAAACTATAGTTTGTAAACAAGACATTTGTGGAGTGGTTGAAAAGTGAGTTTTAATGACTCCAACCTAAGTGAATGTAAACTTCCGACTTCAACTGTACATGTTGTCACAACAGACTGGAGATTGTCACTGTTACACCCCTTCATCCCTCCCTCCCTCCTTCCCTCTGTTCCTCCCTTTCCCTCCAGGAGGTGAAGGAGGTGTTGGATGAAATCCTTCACTCCTGATCCAGCCATATGTCACTGTGTGGAGTGGTGGGAGGGGTGCGAGAGGGGGGCGAGGGACGTCATCGACACCCTGCTCTCCTCTCTCCCGCTGCCTGATGCTGGCAGCAGGATTAAGATTACACGCTGTCTCTGAAATTCCATAAATCCCTCTGCATTTTATTGTGTGGGTGTGTCTCTAATGGCTCACTCTGTAGTGCACTACTTTTGACCAGGGCCCATAGGGCTCTGGTCAAAAGTAGTGCACCATATAGGAGTAGGGTGCCATTTGCGACACATCCTGTGTCTCCTCCTTGTGGGCTAGTCAGTCACGTGGACCAGCAGGCTCAGAGCACACGAGTCTCCCTGGCTGGGCTGCCTCAAGTCTATCAGCATTACAGTACAGCAATGCTGGGTGAGCATCTCAGTCTCTGGATCTGTGTGTTTTTATCTGTGCAGTATTTAGCAGACATCCCATGTTGTCAGGGTATAGCTTTCCAGACTGTGTTCTGTTCTATCATGGCCGTTGCATGTGGTTTAGTTTTCCTCCACAGCTGGAGCTTTACTGTGTCATTAGTGTCTCTGTCTAATCCTCCTCACTTTTTTCTCACTCTCACTCTCTGGCACCATCTGTGGTTACCACTTCTTTGCTGTACCAACTTCCTCTAAGTCTCCAGCATTTCTCTCTCTCTCTCTCTCTCTCTCTCTCTCTCTCTCTCTCGCTCTCTCTCGCTCTCTCTCTCTCTCTCTCTCTCTCTCTCTCTCTCTCTCTCTCTCTCTCTCTCTCTCTCTCTCATCTCTCTCTCTCTCTCTCTCTCTCTAATGCTTAATGACTAATGCTTCTAAGGTCTGATGAGAGCAGCTGTACAAATGTGATGAATAATTGAATGGTGGTGTCCAGTATCAGCTCTAGCAGCAGAGCTGTGTTTCAGTGCAGATCTGCTGGCCTCAGCTAAACACTTGGAGTGCAGTGGAGTGGGGAGAGGGGAGGAGGAGAGGGGAGGGGAGACGGAGGGAGAGGAGATGAAGTTTCTCCCATGTCGCTGCTGGCAACTCTCCTTCAACAGAAGGCCTACGAGACGTGTCGTACACTTTATCTTGTGGCCAGTCAAAGGGTGAAGACAGAGCAGACGGAGCAAGGACCCTGCGAGGGTGTGTGTGTGGGTACTGCTGTACACTACATGGTCCTGTGAGGGTCATTCAACTTTTATGAAGCCGTGCTGAGCAACACAAAACATGATAACCCACTGGTAATGTCGACGTGGCGGTAGCCATGTCACACCACATTCTCCTGGTGACCCTGACAACCGTGTTGGGTAAACACTTACTCTACCTCTTTTTCAGACAAACAGAGGAGTCCAGCACTACATAGCTCACAACTTAACACTCACAGTACAATCCAATTGACTTGGTGAAGATTACTTTCTTAGAAAAACATTCTGCAAACAAAGTGGATTATGAGGAAAGTGGTTTACAAGGACTCGATTTTCCTTTACTTTTTGCTTATCTTCACCAAATTCAATATCTTTTTTGTAGCTTTTATCTTGGTCCTCCAGAGTTGTTTTTTCTTAGTGTTGTGGTGAATAAGTCCTTGAGTTGAGGCTGTGCAGTATGATCAGTCTTATTCTCTGCCAGAAACACCACAATCCTGCTCTCTCTCTTCACCTCATCTACTCTGATTCTCCATATGGTGATTTTCTTCCAGAAAACTCTGTTTCTTCTTAGAGTATATTTAGATCTAAAGGAACTTTTTGGGAACAAACCAATGACAAAAGACCTTATTGTCTCTGTCTGTGTTTGTGCCAGCAGCCAGGTAGCCATTTTGTACCTCCTCTCTTTCCTTTTCTAATTGCCTGATAATGATGACATAGTATCTACAAGACAGTTTGAGAGTGACTAGGGGTTATCTTTGGGTTCTTTAGGAAACTATTGCACAAATATAAATGTATTTGTGGTCTGTCATTACCATTGAACCAGATAACAATACACTTTATTTGTATATCATAATTCATACAGAGACCACAACTCAAGGTGTAGTACTCTACATTTACGATGCAGTTTGTTTCTCTCATGTATTCCATCCGAATTCCTTCCTATTCATCTCTCTTATCTCTCTCTCTCTGTCTCTGTCTCTGTCTCTGTCTCTGTCTCTGTCTCTGTCTCTCTCTCTCTCGTTCTTGCTCTTGCTCTCTCTCTCTCTCACTTCAAAGATACCTGCTATTGCTCCTTATCCACATTATAGAACTTTACACCAGCATTTCGTCTCTCATAGAAATGCTTGGTCTGCTTTTATTTGAGGTGTATGTACTAGGCAAATAAGATAGTTTGACCTCAGTGGCTTTTAACTAACATACTGACTCAACTCTCAACCAAAAAGTTGGATTCTATTTACACTATGGTATTACATACTCAAGAGGACTGAGAGACAGAGCATAGACCAACTGAATGAGAGAAACATATTTATTTTCTGCTTGGCATGGAAACACATTCCTAGTCCTACTCCTTGTCCTAACTATAGAGAATACAGTAGAGTCATGGTGCCAGATCAGAAGTGAATATTTATGTTCCTCTCCCAAGACCATAGACACCCACTACTCAATGAAGCAGGTTACAGGCAGACAGTTCTAAAGCCTTTCAGTCAAGCAGATTGTAGTCTCAGTCAACCACTGAAGTGGGAAGACAAGCTCAGCAAGAGAGAGAGAGAGAGAGAGTGAAAGAGAGAGAGAGAGAGAGAGAGAGAGAGAGAGAGAGAGAGAGAGAGAGAGAGAGAGAAGAGAGAGAGAGAGAGGAGAGAGAGAGAGAGAGAGAGGAGAGAGAGGAGAGAGAGAGAGAGAGAGAGAGAGAGAGAGAGAGAGAGAAAGAGCAAACAAGGGTGAGAGAGTAAGAGCAAAACATAAATATTGAGGGTAAAGGAGAGGTGTGTGTGCGTGTGCATTCGTTCCGTTCGTGCGGCATTGCATTTATAGGGCCCTGTGGAGGTCTACCTTATCTCTCTCCAAGCTGTGTGAACAGACACAAGCCCTCCTTTCTCTATGATCAGAAATACTGCCCTCACCTTGGGTTACTACCACCAGTGATTACAAAGACACACTCTCACCTCCTTTCTCTGAGAACAGTCTTTAGAAGATCATGCTTTAGTAGGAGTTCAATTGGGGCAATTCAACTGTAGTTGCGTCGAGGATATTGAGCCGTGGATGGCCAAGTTAATATAGGTGAAGAGAGCATTAGAGAGGAAAGGAAGAAAATAGAAAAGCTGAAGAAGAAAAATAAAAAACAGAATTGGTCTGACAGTGAAATTGGGAGGTAGAGGATAATAAATACAGGAGAGAGATTGAGAAATGTAAATGTAAATGAGAGGGTGAAGAAATTCGGGGAAGACAGGAATAGAAAATGCACCAAAAGGGAATGGGGGTTTTAGGAGAAAAGGATAGAGGAAAAGAGAGCGAGAAGGAGAGAGAGGAGCTAGCCTTAAACCCAAGCATGGCAGGAGAGAGAGAGCAGGAGAGAGAGAGCAGGAGAGAGAGAGCAGGAGAGAGAGAGCAGGAGAGAGAGAGCAGGAGAGAGAGAGCAGGAGAGAGAGAGCAGGAGAGAGAGAGCAGGAGAGAGAGCAGGAGAGAGAGAGCAGGAGAGAGAGAGCAGGAGAGAGAGAGAGAGAGATCTGCGAAATTGCTTTCCAGCTCTAATATGCATATGGCTGTTCCACTGTTCCTCTCTTTAGATCTCCCTCCCTCCTTCCTTCCTTTCATCCCTCCCTCCCTTCCTCCCTCCAGAGACCAGCAGCCCACTCAGGTACCTGTCCTCTGGAGCTGGTCCACTGGAGCTTCCTCTAGTAGCAGGCAACGCTAGCTGATAACTAGCCCAGATAGTCATGTAACGATAACCCGGATGAGCACTGACAGGGAAATAGGACAGAGGGAGGGGCGCAGAGGAGGGGGACACAGGAAGAGATGGGTTCTGCATCACTGTAACACCGCATGAGACCCTCTACTCTCTGCTTTGGTCGACTTAACAATTGTGCTCGACAGGGGGATTGATAATGAGTAGTCGTGTCAATAGGATGGAGGACATGCTTCTAGCAGATGAGGTTTGACTGATGGTGGTACAGTAGCTGTGGGGAACTGGGCTGTGGCTACCTGCCACGGAGTGGAGAGGCAGTGTGGATGGAAGTCAATAATTCACTCTGGCTCTGAGAGGCTCAGCAAGAGGTTCATCAAGAGGTTGGCTGGGTAGAAGGAAGCAATCCCACTGGGCTTTTACTTCCGCTGTCATAGGACACTGATTTACTTTCTAGGCTGCATCCCAAATGGAACCCTATTCCCAATAGTGCACTACTTTTGACCAAGGCCCATCCCCCCCCCCTTCTTCCTTCGTATTTGTCTGTCCATCTTCCTTTATTCTTCTCATCACTCTTGCTCTATTTCGTCCTTTCTCCTCACCCTCCACCACTTCTCTCCCATCTTTTCTGTCATTCATTCTCTTCCTTCTCTCTCCTCCTCTTCTTCTTTGCCCGTTGGGCCTCTCCGGTTCTCTTCTTCTTCCTCTGGTCGGCCCTGTGCTGACTGTTCCTCCAGTTTGTGGCGTTGTGCTGTAGGGTAGTGTAGTGTAGTATAGTGTAGGCCTAGTGTAGTGTAGTGTAGTGTAGTGTGCTGTAGGGTAGTTTAGTGTAGTTTAGTGTAGTGTAGTGTAGTGTAGTGTACTGTACTGTACTGTACTGTACTGTACTGTGCTGTAGCCTAGTGTAGTGTAGTATAGTGTGCTGTAGTGTAGTGTAGTGTTGCCTGGTCTGGAGAAGCAGCAGTAGCAGCAGTAGAACTGGGGAGGGGATGAAAGTGCGCGCTAGAGCAGAACAATGGTACCCTGGGTAAAAATAGCTCTCTTCCAACTTGGCAGGGGGAGGGGGCCTGCCTGCTGCACTATATACAGTACAAAGATAGGGGGATTGAGTGGTCTATATGCGGATGTATAATGCACTACATACAGAAGAAAGGTGTGGTGGGGGGGGGGGGGGGGGTGCATAGCCGTGGGAAGTAGGGGTGCTGAAAAATCTGAATTAAAAATATATATTAATTCAAAAGTAGCGCACTGGGCCTTTACTAGTATTAGTGGACTGATATAGATGTCTGTAGCCCGGGCAACATTTTGTTTTTAACATCTCCGCTTTGGCAAAAAAGTAGTTGTATAATTAAGAACAGTATCTTACAGGATTCAATAGTTGGAATTGTAAGAGTTGGTGCCCTGTCCCTTTCTTTGCGATTGTCATTCTAATAGAATCCAGAAAGAACAAAACCCTGTCCTCAAACATTTAGATCAAAGGTGCAAAGTTATGGGCAAAGATACAAAACATCCACATAAAATCAAATATTTTTCTTGATCAAATACCAATGAAAACAACCACTTTTTGTGCAGTATTAATTTACCATCCTTACAAACCACTTAATGTAAATGTACATTACTGTATTGTACATAGGCTGGTCAGTTAGGTTTGTACCTGTAGACTTTCCATCACCATGAAGAAAAACAATGCACAATACAGTAACTGAGTACATCAAGACATCAAGTGGTTTGTAGTGATGTGATGATGTGGCTCAGTTGGTAGAGCATGGTGCTTGCAATGCTAGGGTTGTGGATTTGATTCCCACGGGGAAAAAGTATGAAAATGTATGCACTCGCTACTGTAAGTTGCTCTGGATAAGAGTGTCTACTAAAATGGAAAAGTAAAGAATAGACCATTTCAGTTTTCACATAGAATAAGTTGCATTTGCAAAGTATTTCAAGAAACTTGAACATATAAAGCAAGTATGTTATATTCCACAAGTATTATCAGATTAACTGTTTTGTACATATAATTATCAGACTAAAGCTACAAATGCTGGTAAACACTCAAAAACATTTCGTTTTTTTTTTTATCACAAAATAAAAAGTAGTGCACTGGGCCTTTACTAGTCCTGTATTAGCGGACTGATATAGACGTCTTCAGCGTGGGCAAAAAAAAATTCTGCACTTTAGTCAGATCAATATAGCGGAGTGGACCACAGTATTGCTCTCTGTCTTAAGAGCAATCACTGTTATGAGTCCACCAGCAAATGAGAAAAGGGATATCATTTGTGACTTTGCTAATCACACTTAAGAGAAAGAAAAAACAAAACACCCACTGCTTGAAATAAACTATTAAAGAGCTTGACAGCTCTCGCAGGGAGGCTTTTATGCTTCATAGTTTTAAGAGGCTTACTTCTCCGAGTATACTGTAGTAGTGGACCTGGGCCGTCACTCAGTCCCATTGTTATGGGAACATCATTGCTATGTGTGCCGGCTCACCAGATGTGTTGTAAAAGCGTGATGTCTCTTGATCTGGTAGCAGCCTGCCGATAGACAGTACTACTTTCTCCTCTGAGACCCACATACTTAATCACAGGGAAGCCATGCTGTCACTCATCCTTATCCAAAGAATCACAGTGGAGATGTACATGAAATGTGGGAGTGATGTTCTACCCTTGACACATTCTTCAGTACCTACTCTCTGTAGCCCCGTCACTTCCTAACTTTCTCTCTCTTGTTTTTCTGATTTGTTTTGCAGAAGAAAGAATGGCTCTGTCTGAACTGCCAGACCCAGCGACTGATGTCTGGAGGGCTTGGAGAGCCCTCTCCTGTATCTCATCCGTCTCCAAAGCACCAACCAATGGGTTCTCCACGCCACCAGGCACTGACCAGTCAGCAGCCTGCTCAGCAGCCACCCTTCCAAAAATTGACCAGTCAGCAGCAGGAAGGGCCGAGACCGATGCAGCCGCAGCAGCAGAAGCCCCAGACAGGCCTGGGGAGCGGACCTTTCGCCTCAACTGCAGCGAAGCAACCTGGGGACACGAAGGCCCCTGTCCAGGCAACACCTACACCTGCAATCGAGCCCCTGAAACAACCAAAGGCCAAGGAAGAGACTATGCCAAAACCAGAGGAGTTGGTGGAACCCACCATAGACACCAAACCTACTCAGAAGAAGGGAGAGCCAATCACACCAATAAAAGAGATAAAGAAGTCAAGATATGATGTGAGTCACCTTTTAGATGTCCCAGAAATTCATTTTGATAAGGCTGTGTTGTTATATATTAAAGCAAGATGTTGATTGTAGGACATTCAGTGGATTTGAAATGGGATAATGTATTGGTAGTTTATAGCCACAGTATAGCAAATGATTAGAAAATGGGATCCAATACTTCCTCTGCACCTTGTTATTGACGTCTAGAAAATAATGCTGATGAAGCAGGCGCCAGCCATAGCACTGACGGATTTACTCCACACAGAGAAAATGTATTTTTTTTCTCTCACACCATTTTAGCCATCGCTCCTCTTGAAATATAATGCGTTACGATTGGTACAACCATGAATATGCAAAGCCATCAAGGCCTTGGTTAATGGTAGTGAATTAGTGCTGATGTGAATACCAAAGTGCTCCACTCTAATGCCCACTGTTCTCTAATGTTCACTGTGAGTATGGGTGGAATTCTATGAGGAGCAGAACATTATGAATAAAATGGTTAGAATAGCCATTGCATAAGGTAATGTAGGGGATTTTCAGGTCTTTTTCAGGTCTTTTTCCCAGTCTGATGTATTGTTTTTGGCAGATTTCTTATGTCTTACTTATTTGTTATTTTGTCTTTCTCTGTCTCTCCCCTTAGGAGACCAAGAACAGCACTCAGGACCTGTCGCGGAGTCCCCAGAGCCTGAGTGACACGGGCTACTCCTCCGACGGCATCTCCAGCTCCCACAGCGAGATCATCGGCCTCATCCAGGAGGAGGAGATGAAGCTGAGCGAGAGGGGCATCAGCGGGCGTGGCAGCCCCCCCAGCCCCTCCGAGATCACCAAGCTGGAGAGCTCCATGAGGCCCCTGCTCGAGTCCAAGGCCCTGCCGGTCGAGGAGAGGGAGCGCGAAAGGGGCAGAGGCAGGCACCACCGAGAGCAGAGACCCCGGTCGCTGTCCATCACCCCGGAGGCCTATGACTCTGACGAGGAGCTGGAGGACATTGTGGAGGAGGAGGAGGACGGAGGGGACTGGGAGTCCAAACGGGAGCACAAGAGCAGTGCCGCTCCCAAGGAGGAGAAGAACGTGGCCGAGCCGGAGCCGATGACAGATGAGGAGTTCATGAGGAGGCAGATCATAGAGATGAGTGCTGACGAGGACAACGAGGAAGAGGAGGAAGACATGGAGGAGGAGGACGAGGAGGACGAAGGCTACGGCTACCAAAAACAACAAAAAACACTCAAGCACATCTCAGAGTTGACGAAAGAGAAGCGCCGCCTCTCTCACCAGTCCAGTAGCTTCGAGGAGGACACCAAAAGCTCCAGCGACATCTACAAATGTTCTGCGGAGGAAGGAGAGGAGGGGGGCCTGGGGGGCCTGCGCCGCTTCAAGACAATCGAGCTCAACAACACAAACAGCTACAGCCGCGACATGGAGCTCAACAACGAGAACGACCTCAGCCTGGATCGAGAGCCCGAGCTGGAGATGGAGAGCCTGACGGGGTCTCCCGAGGAGCGCTCCAGGGGCGAGTACTCCTCCACCCTGCCACCCACCACCTCCAGCTACAACTCTGGCACCTCCCCCACCTCCATCTCCTCAATGGAGGAAGACAGCGACAGCAGTCCCAGTCGCAGGCAGAGACTGGAGGACGCCAAGCAGCAGAGGAAGGCCCGCCACCGCTCCCACGGCCCCCTGCTGCCCACCATTGAGGACTCCTCGGAGGAGGACGAGCTGAGGGAGGAGGAGGAGCTGCTGCGGGAGCAGGAGAAGATGAGGGACCTGGAGCAACAGAGGATCCGCAGCACGGCCAGGAAGACCAAAAGAGATAAGGAGGAGCTGAGGGCCCAGAGACGCAGGGAGAGGTCCAAGACGCCCCCCAGCAACCTCTCCCCCATCGAGGACGCCTCCCCTACTGAGGAGCTGCGACAAGCTGCGGAGATGGAGGAGCTCCACCGATCCTCTGCCTCGGAATACTCCCCCCAGAGCCTTGACTCAGAGGCTGAGGGATACGAGTCTAAACTCTACAAGTCTGGCAGCGAGTATAACTTGCCCACGTTCATGTCTCTGTACTCTCCTACTGAGAAGTCGTCGACGACCTCGACCACCACCGCGCCCTCCAGCAGCAAGCCCCTGAAGAGTGCTGAGGAGGTGTATGAGGAAATGATGAGGAAAGCAGAGTTGCTGCAGAAACAACAGAAACAGCAACAGCAGCAACAAGGGAGACACAACAGTGCATACGAGGACGACACGAATGGCCAACAGAATGAAGATGTGTATGAGTACGAGCAGGCCGAGACTAGTTACGAAAACGAGGCGGCAGAGACAGGAGACATCTACGAAGAGATCCGCCAGACATCCCAGAACATCACTAAGATGCACCAGTCCTCGGCCCTGGAGTTACAGCAGCAGGCAGACGAGCAGGTGGAAATAGACGACAGCACCTATCCAGATAAGCAGCTTTTAGATACTGGGTCAGCCTTCGCTAAGCTGCTTGAGCAGACCAATGACCTATTGACTCCTGGCAACAGCCCCACTCAGCTCTCTGCACCTGTGTCCTTCTCTGAGACCGGAGGAAGGATCCCTGATGTACGGGTGACACAACACTACTCCAAAGATGTCCATAAAGCCGGGATGAAGAGCCAGACGGGTAAAAATGGCATTACTCCAGTGGTGGCCGCCACCACAATAGCAGCCTACGGGGTTTATTCCCGGGATGCGGTGACCATCTCTCAGACAAGCGTTAGTCAAACGATGACGACCACCCAATCCATTATGTATGGTCGGCAAACTGGAGGACCTGCCACTTCAACCACAACCGTCTCAAATGTGTGCAGCAAGATAGCGGAGATAACACAGGCATACAGCCAGAGAGAGATGGTTGCGAGGAGGGTGGGCGAGAGCCGAGGGGTCCAAGCCAGAGACAGTGCGACATCCTCAGAGCACGTCATAGAGCCCCGCTCGCCAAAGATGTACTCGTACTACAAGAGCTCCAGCCCCCCTCTGTCTCCCTCTGCCTCACCCACTGAGAGCCCAACTCTTTCCCCCTCCAGGAGGGCCGAGATCTCCACCCAGACGTTCAGCCCAGGCATAGGGGCTCTGTCAGCTGGCTCGGGGCCCACCTCCCCAGTGATGGCCCAGGGGACACAGACATCTCAAAGGGCCGTATCCCCACGTCTATTCAGACAGCAATCCTCCCAGCACGCCCTCTACATGGGCGCAGAGCCCACAAGCCCTGCCAAACCAATGACGGTCAACATGGCCACGTCACCTTTATCCTCGCCCACCAGATTCATCCGACAGTCGACGTTTGACAGCTACTCTTCACAGGCCAGTCCGCCTGACACCCCTCCGTACCACCAGTCTCCTCAGCACAGCTTCTATAGGACGCAGAAGGTGGAGAAGGTCAGTGTTGGCACCAGCATGGTCACCACAGCTAGCACCTACAGCTGTGGTTCGATGTCTATGGACAACATCTCTCTCTGCAGGATCTCCAGCATCCCGGGGACCTCGAGAGTGGAGCCGGGCCAGATGATCCATGGTGGGAGTGTGGTGGATCTGAGAACAGTAGATCTGAGAACAGCCACTAACGCAGCTCCCATTATCATGACTGCGCATGGCATGGATCTTACCTCCCTGGCCACAGAAACACGCAAATCCACCAGCGGGCCCGAGGGGAGCCACCCCTCCACTGTCATCCAGCCCCTCATCATGAACCTGAACACCCAGCATCACCCCCACGTAATGGTATCCACCGCAACCACGGTGAGCGTCACGGTGGCCGCCTCCATGTTCATATCACAACCCCAACAGCCCATGGTCTATGGGGACCCTCTACAAAACAGAGTTGATCTCGGCCAGGGCATGGGCTCAGCCATGTGCCTTTCACAGAACAAACCACCGCCTATTGACCCGTCTATCCCCAAGATCGACGCTAAGCTGGAGGACCTGAGCATCCAGCAGCAGCAGCTTTTCCAGCAGCAGCAGAAGCTTCAACAGCAGCAGCATCTCTTGGAGCAACAGCTCCAGCAACACCACCAGATGCAGCAGCAGTCCTCTGTAGCTCGGTACAACCTACCAGGCCAGATGACTCTGCTCAAGAAAGACCTTCTGGTCAGCCAAACCAGCAATGCCCCAGCCGTGGTCAGCGCTATATCCCCTGCCGTTGCCCCTGATATCTACGGCACTGGAGGTCCCCTGGAGCTGAAGAGCAAACCAACCCCGGCAGGTGTGATGAACCTGGCTGGGGGTGGGCCTCATGGCATGATGATCCAAATGGAGGGAGCCCCACAGGGAGGACCAGTGACCCAGCTGGTGAAGACAGAGGAGGGCCAGGATGCCGTGGACTTCACAGGGGGGCAGATCAAAGCTGAGAACCAACCAGCTTGCTGTGATGTAGTGTACCGCCTCCCATTCGGAGGTAGCTGCGTTGGCGGACCGTTCTCCCAAAAGCCAAATGTTGATGAGAAAGTGGCCACTCAAGAGCCAAGACCACACTCTGTGCCACCACTCTCTTACGAGTCAGACCAGGAGGGCCAGTATCAGGAGTTTTCTATGGACGGGCGTAAAGCCTACACACTACCGTTCCCTGGTCGGCTACAGCCCTCGATGTCTGACACCAACCTAGCAGAAGCCGGACTCCAGTCCTACCACTCCAAGATGGACCCACACATCCAGACCTCTGCAGAGCTGGCCGTGGACCTCAGCACCATGAAACACGCCTATGAGGGAGGTTTCCTGGGACTGGGCATGCAGTATGGCTCCTACACTGACCTACGCCATGGAGGTGACATCACTGCTACTGCCCTGCCCATACGCAGATTCAACTCTCTGTCAAACATCAGCTCAGACTACGGCTACTCGCCCCGAGACCTCGCTAACTTCCAGGAGTCCAACCTGGCCCAGTACAGTGCCACCACCGCCAGAGAGATCAGCCGAATGTGCGCTGCCCTCAACTCAATGGACCGTTATGGGAGCAACCCGGAGCTCATGCAGTACGGTGTAGGCAGAGGAACTGGTCCAGGTGGCAGGCTGAACTCTATGAGACAAAATATGCTCTACGGACCTGACGGGAAGCCAATCTCTCACACCCAAGCGCTCACCAACATGATCAATGCCAGGCAAGCCAGCCTCCGAGCCATGTACCCGTCTGCCATGAGGTCTGCCGATGGGATGACCTATTCTACCATCAACACACCCATCGCCTCCACCTTGCCAATCACTACCCAGCCTGCCTCAGTGCTGCGCCCGCTACTAAATGGAGTGTACAGGCCTTTACCCACAGCCAATATGACACCTGTGCCTCTGGCCAGCCTCACCAGGATGCCTGTGAACCCACGGATGCCTATGTCTGGACAGGCCCCATACCGTTATCCGGCTCCCAACGTCTTCCCATCTACCACGTCGGCCCCTGTGAGCATGCATGCCACCATCACCACCACCCAGGATGCCCCAATCTACCTAGGGAAGCCCTCTGTGACATCAAGTGGATCTGATCCACCGTCTCAATCTACCGTTGCCCATACATCAGCCTCGGTCAGCTTGCCAATGGAGCCCGAGCAGCATCCCATGAACCTGACCCAGGCTCACCTCCACACTCAGGCCCCAGGGCAGCCCCAGGTCCAGCCTCAGAGCCAGCCCCCAGCCCAGCCCCAGCACATGCAACCTCAATTCCACCCTCAGGGCCAGCATCCACCCCAGAGCCAGCCCCCTCCAGCCCACGCTTACCCCTCAACACAAAGCTACGCTGGGCCCCAGAGCAGCACCCAACCCCATCACCCAACCCCACCCTCCAGCGGCCCTGTCAACCCAGAGACCGAGTCTGAGGAGGAGAGGATGCACCGCCAACAGGAGCAGCTTCTGCAAATGGAGCGGGAGCGCGTGGAGTTGGAGAAGCTGCGTCAGCTGCGTCTGCAGGAGGAGCTGGAGAGGGAGCGCATGGAGCTGCAGCGGCACCGTGAGAAGGAGCAGATGCTGGTGCACAGGGAGATCCAGGAGCTGCAGACCATCAAGGAGCAGGTCCTGCAGCAGCAGCAGGCTGAGAGGGAGAACCAGCTGGTGATGCAGAAGGAGCAGTTGGCCCAGCAGAAAGCCCAGCTTGACCAGATCCAGTCGCTGCAGCAGCAGCTCCAGCAGCAGCTTGAGGAGCAGAAGAGGCAGAAGACTGCTGCAGCTGTCGCTGCTGCAGCCACCGCAGCCGCTCAGTTGGACCAGAGCGGCCAGACGCTGCAGCCCTACGGAGACCAAGTGGGCTTCAGGTCCCTGCCCAACTCCTCCTCAGACATGTGTCTAAGGAACAACGAGGAGCAGATGGAGACCAGGACCAACATGAGAAAGCAGAACTCCACCTCCATGCCCCGACTGAGAGATGGAATGGAGGGCGAGAGTGTCGAGTTCTACGGAGCCCGGAGGATCGTGGACAGCTGCGTCCAGACAGACGACGAGGAGGGCGAGGAGAGGTACATCATGTCCAGGCGCAGACGCAACAGGCGCAGCGTAGACCGCAGCGTCCAGACTGACGATGATGAGGAGAAAGTGGAGTGGGAGCAGCCTGTGAGGCGCAGACGCTCACGCTTCTCCAGGCACTCGGATCCCGGGGCCGACCACAAGACTGACGCAGCCTCCAAGACAGCCGCCTCATCCAGCATCGCCATCCAGACCATCCGAGACTGCTCCTGCCAGACCGAAACAGACCAGCTGGGGAAGGTGTCCCCGGCCATCCACGTCACCGTGCCAGACCCGAACAAAGTGGAAATCGTCCACTATATCTCAGGCCCTGAAAGGACCCAGAAGGGTCAAAGCCTAGCCTGCCAAACAGACGTGGAGGTCCAGTCTCAGGGCGTGGTGGTGCCACAGCTCAGCGTGCCCACCACCGTCAGCCCCTACTCCACGGGCATCCAGCTGGTGGGCTCCGCTGACCCGCGGCAGCAGCAGAACAGGAGGAGGTCTGACCCCATGGAGATCAGCTACCAGACCCAGACCCAGCCCATGAACCACCTCCACAATGAGTCCCTCTCCAGCCTGATCCGTCAGCCCCCCAAGTCCCCCCAGGTGCTCTACTCCCCTGTGTCCCCCGTCTCCCCCCACCGCCTGCTGGAGACCTCCCTCTCCAGCGGCGGGCTGAACAAGGCCCATGTCACTCCCCAGCAGAAGGCCTACACAGCCGAGTCACCCCAGCGCCACCCCAGCATGCCCCGCCCTATTAAGAACACGCAGAGGTCCATGTCCGACCCCAAGTTGCTGAGCCCCACCACTGACGAGCACACTAAGGCCAGGCTAAACCTGTACCAGCAGCAAGCTCTTCAGAGCCAGGTAGGTCACAAGGTCAATCCTTTGATCCTCAACAGCTATTTCTGTACACATGCAGAGATTGAAAGAGAGCAAACAGTCTTATTTAAATTGTAACATCACATAGACAGTTGTCTTTTTAATGTTGAGTATGAATTCTACTGTAGTACAGTATGTAACGAATTGACAGACTAATATTAAAATGTGGCCCCATAAACATACAGTGCATTAACATACAATGCTATACTATACATAAAACACAACACAATTTACACACATTTAACACTGACAGATCTCTAGTTAAAAAAAACACCATTGACGCATGTCCTCCAACATCTTACTAATGCACAACTTCCTAAGTGAACACTGTCAAAGTATCTCTACATTAAAGTTGATATTTTTGCCAAGAAATTGTTAACATCATTACAGGCAAAAGCTGACAATGATATCTCCATTCATCCAATACTAACTCCAACTGTTTGTTCTGTTCTTGCTTAAGTGGCAAATTACAGATTGACGTTTGTCCCCCCTATATACAGATTACTATGAAGGGAAGAAAAAGCTGAAAGAATTCTGAAATTTAAGTGAACCATCCGTCGTATTTGTGAAAAATGCTTTCTTAGTTCTTTTCTTTTTCTTTAATTTTTTTTATTTTTGTTGTTGCACACAATAACATACAAAACAATATGATTCGAATTTAAAAGGCAAACGGAAGCGTGTGCAGGACAGGTAAAAATAACTGAGAGGCTTGTAAGGCACCTCCCCCTTTCAAATATTTATAAAACAAAACAAAAAAAGTATCCTGATTTTTAAGACCAATTAATAAATAATTGGAGATTTACACAAAGAAAAAGGAAAACATGATGATTTGGGGGTGGATTATGTATTATTAAAATGCATAATCAAAGTAAGTGACAAATAGGCAGGAAACTATTGAGATGAGTCATTGAGTGGAATGTCCAGTAGATATTTTTTAATTTTGTATTTGAAGGAGTTGTTGAAGGAGCTGTTGCAGTGTTTGAGGGGGTCAGGGAGACTTAACAAAACATTATTGACCTCAGTATGTGATGGAGAATTGACCTAATCTTGTACAGAAAAAAGGTGTGTGGAATTCAGTGGCAGTTCTTGTAGAGTAATGATGAACCTGAGTATTACATTTGAATAGCATTTGAAAATAAACTAATTTTGAGTTGGAAGACAAACAGATAGACTTGAAGTTGGTTGATTTCATAAATATTGAGGATTTGAAGGCGATGAAAGAGTGGAGAGGAACTGACACGACTGTCAGAACTGGCACGACTGAATATAGCTTGTCTCTATAAGACCTTCAATTGTATTGGGAAATAATTGGGCTTATTTGATACCCTACTAGAATTTCTGGAGAGAGGTTTATGGTTGTAAAACATTTACTGAGATTATGTAGAACTGCTGTTGTGGGAGCATCTTCATGAGATTGTCATAATTGAACAGTAATGTTGCTGACAGATACTGGGGCTATCTTCCCCAACCTTTCTTGAGACTGTGGCTGTGATTAATTTAACCCCCAATGGAAATCCAAGTTTAATTACCACAATGAAACTATGAATTAATTAACTATTACACACTCACATAGTGCTGCCTACACAGTTGTGGCATGGCTGAGGATGTAACATACTAGAGAAATGTTAGTGGACATGTTAGATTATAGACATTTGTATTGCTTTGCACTGCTATGTAACTGAAGCAATACCATTTAAGGTAGCAAACATATTGATATTTACCAAGCTTCAGTTTACAGCAATTTGTTTATTGCTTTTCTCTTTTGTACAGGCACATTGAGTAATGAATAATCACACCATAAGAATGTAACTTGTATTTGTATTGTCCTTGATTGAATCAATACATATCTATGTCACATGTGCCATGCTCTGTTGTGCCAAGCTCTAACCCTAACCTCATGCTCTCACGGCCCTGTACCGTCTCACTGCAGCTCGCCGCCCTGCAGCAGAGCGCCCTGAGGAAGGTGAAGAGGACCCTGCCCAGCCCGCCTCCAGAGGAGAGCCACCTCCCCATTATCACCCCGGCCCTCCCCCAAATGTACATGCCCGCTGTGCCCTCCCTGAGGGCCGGGTCCAGGCCAGGTCTGGCAGCCAAAGCCAGCCTGCTGAAGGACCTCACCCACGAACTGAAGGCCGTGGAGCAGGAGTCCACCAAGCTCCGCAAGCAGCAGCAGGAGCTGGAGGAGGAGGAGAAGGAGATTGATGCCAAGCTGCGCTACCTGGAACTGGGCATTCATCAGCGCAAAGAGACCCTGGTGAAGGAGAGGGAGAGGAGGGATATGGCCTACCTGCGCTGCATGGGCGACCCGCGAGACTACATGTCAGACAGTGAACTGAATAACCTACGGCTGGCGGCAGCGGTAGCTTCCTACGAGAGCAACGGGGTGTTGACCAGACCCAGCACAGCACCACTGAGCCAGTTCACCAGCGACCTCAACACAGCCGCCCAGTTCCCTCCCACCTCCTCCTTCGTCTCCTACCAGTCCTACCACCCCCAGAGCCAGCCAGCTCCAGCACCCCAGCCTGGCACCCCTTACCAGACCGCAGCCTTCAACCAGCCCCCCTACCCTTCAGTGGCCCAGGCAGCAGCTCTTCCCCAGCCCACCCCCCTGCAGACCCAACATCTTCCCCCATCCTACCAGACCCAGGGGTCCTTCCCCTCCCACACATACCCCCAGAGCCAGCCCCCCTACCCGACAGAGCAGGGGGTGCAGCCACTGCTCCAGCAACAGCAACAGCCAAGCCACCAGGGGTTCCAGCCTGCCCAGCCTGCCCAGCCTGCCCAGCCTGCCCAGCCTGGCCAACCTCCCTACCCCACCCACACCTCTCCATACCCCAGCCAGGTGTCCTACCCAGCTGGCCCTAGCCAGACCACTCCCTACCAGCCCCAGGCAGACATCCTCACTGTTCACCAGAGACCCAGACAGACCTCTCTGGCTGACCTGGAGCACAATATGCCCACTAACTATGAGGTTATAAGCAACCCCACTGTAGTGGTGACCACCACGGCCCAAGATGCCATCTACTCCTCCTCCAGTGGGGCGCCCCTGTATGGACAGTATACTGGTGGTACCACTATGGCCAACACTTATGGGCCGTACTCTTCTACAGTCTCCAGTACATATGGCCAGTACACGACGACAGTTGCCAACACATACGGGCAGCAGTACACTTCCACCCCGGCCAGTACGTACGGCCAGTATACCACTACCACAGCTAACACCTACGGCTACACCACCACTACAGCCAGCTCCTACGGCCAGTACACCGCTACAGTGGCCAACAGCTACGGCCACGGCACTCCATCTGACCGTCTGCACTCGGTTGACAGCCTGTCCACCTATGCACAGGACGGTCTCTACGGCCCCGCCAGCCTGGAGCAGAACATTCCAAGGAACTACGTCATGTGCGACGACATCAGTGAGCTGACCAAGGACGGCCTGGGTGGCATGGCGGCGGACATGCACCGAAGCGACGGTCACGGTGGACGCTACATGGGGGAGAGCGGCCCGGCGAGAGGAGGGAGTTCCTACGGCAGGCCGGAGGACGAGCTGACCAGGGAGGAAGATTTGTACGACCACCATGGCAGGGGTAAGAGCAGCTACCACCCACGAGGGTCAGACACATACGGCCGAGTAGTGGGCAGCAGCAGCACTAGCATGGGTGGGGGATCCTCCTATTACTATGATGACTACACCAAACACGGCACACAGCGCACCGGAGTCCAGAAGCACGCCTCCAAGAGCCTGGCTCCGGCCGTCATGTCCACCAAGCGCAGCAAGCACCGCAAGCAAGGCATGGAGCAGAAGATCTCCAAGTTCTCTCCCATCGAGGAGGCACGCGACGTGGAGGCTGACCTGGCCTCCTACACCATGAGCATGTCGGGCGGTGGCAGCTGCACCGTTGTGTCGCGGGCCAGGAAGCTGCAGGACGACATGGCCTACGGCCTGAGGAAGAGCTCCTATGAACAGAAGAGATACTCCTATCCCGAAGAGGACGAGCGCATGTACTACACCTCGGGCCGTTCACGCTCCACAGGCTATGGCATGGACAAGATCTCATCCCGGGACTATGCCGGCTACCGCAGCCGCTCCTACGAGAGAGATGGGGACAGGGATCGCTCGTCGTACAGGGCGGGATATAGCCGGGGCAGACCCCCCATGCGCTCCCAGTATTCGGAGGAGGAGAGCCCGCTCAGTTCCATGGGTGTTCATGTGAGGGCCTCCTCCCTGGGCCCAGAGCTGTACGACAGCCGTAGTAGTCAGTATTATGGCCAGTACGGCTCCAGCCACTCCCTGCCTGACGTGCAGGACCACATGAGAGACTTGCCCCGGACACACGTCTACAAACCAGACGATTCTTACATTATAGACGATATGCATTGCGCTGTTTCGGACAGCGAAGGTAAATGGGTGCTGAATGCCAGTCTATGCCCACGTATAAACGTCCCCCACCCACCCACAGATAAGGCTAGATGAGCGAAAGAGAGAGAGAGTCATTGCATGCTTTACTGGTGTTGCGTCTTGAGGGCTATACTGGCAGATCTCGTCCCGACTGACTGACTGCTGTCTGTGCTGTGCACCTGTGCCAAATCTGCATGATCCGCATGTCCAGTTTCTTCACTTTGTTCGTCACTTTCTCTCGCATGTTCTTCTGAGGTGCATCATTTCTTTTACACAATGTTGTTGTTGTCTTGTAAAAGTTCGGTTTTGTTTACTTGTTGTGATTAACTTATTTTTAGATTGTTTATCAGTCTTTTACATTTGTTGTCTTTTTTTATGTGTGCCGTGTTTTCATATTATGCATGGGTGTAAATATCAACTTCTCTTTTATTTATTTTCTCTCCTTCCCGTTCTTCTTTTGCATGGCCTCAGTCTGCATGCCTCTGTCGCCGTCGGACTTGGAGATTGACTGTGATCTGCTCTTGGTTTCCAAAGCCTACAATCTTGGCCAAGAGGAGACAGACTGGTTTGAGAAGCCCAGGGACCTGCGCTCCGGCTCCCGCCACTACGGCAGTGGTGGCCACTCCTCGTCCGGCCGCAGCCGCCACATCAAGCACAGCTACCACGACTACGATGAGCCCCCAGAGGAGGACCTGTGGCCCCAGGACGAGTATGGCCAAACCCGTCACTCTTCCTCCTCACGGGACCACCGCCCCCATGGCAGCGGCAGCTCCGGGAGACACTCCTCGTCCCGCCACTTGGACGAGCCCCGCTCCTCTCGGTCCTCCAAGGGCCATCCCAAAGACCCGTCCATGCGCCACGACTCCCGCCAGTTGTCCTCGTCAGGAAAGAGGGGCGACTCCCGCTCCCAGGGGGGGTACCACTCGTCGGACTACTCCAGGGACCCGTCGGGCCTCCACCACAGCCAGGGCCGCTCCTCCAAGTCCTCATCCTCCCACGATGGGCGGACTTCCTCCAGGAAGCAGCAGGACCTCCAGGGCCACCCTTCCTCTTCCTCCAGGGGCCAGGGCAGCTCTGGACGTGGACAGGGCTCCACCAGTGGGCCTCCGGGCTCCAGGGGACAGGGTCCTACCTCCCAGCAGGACGGGCTGCAGCCAGGCCAGCGCACCCAGCTGCAGCAGCAGCCCCAGACCTCGGCGGCACGGCAGACAGGCACCACCCCTGCAGGCACAACTCCTGGGGGCCAGCAGCCTCTGGGCCCGGGCCAAGCCCAGCAGGGTCTACAGGCCAAGCCTGGTCAGCTTGGTCCTGGTCAGGCCAGTCGCCTGCCACAGGCAGGAGGCGCAATGGGGCAACTGCCACCAACTGCGGTGAGTACAGGATTATGACTTAGTACAGTACAAGTGTGGTTACAATCAGTGACACTAGATTGGAAATGTATGAATTATAATGAGAATCACTGTAAATGTATGTAGATTATTATTTCACACGTTGAGACAGCATTAGAGGTCTTTGGTGACCTCTCCCTCTCCTCTCATCTCTTTCTTGCCTCCCCCCATCTCTATCTCTATCTCTCTCTCTCTCCATCTCCCTCTCCACCCCCTCTCTCCCTCTGTCTCTCTGATAAGGCCTAGCGTATCATTCTGAGAGGAGGTTTTATTTCAGTGTGTGAAACCCTGTTGGCAGACCTTATCTAGTCTTGTGATTAGCACTGTGGCTGTAGATAGTGGCAGTGTAACAGCCTCTGTCTATTCCACTCAAATGGAGGAGAGAGATTCATCCCCCAAAATGTATTCCGCTGCAAATCCTTCTCCATCCTTCCGTTCCCTGTTTGTTTTGTTATGTCTCTGAATACAGCACCTTGTTTATAATATACACAACTATACAATGTGCAAAGTCTTTCGGCTATGTGTTGTGTTTTACATATAATGCTGTACTGTAGCCCATAGAAATCCTGTATTATAGGAATTGTAGGATCTCTATGCTGTAGCCTATATTGACGACATACGTGGTTTAAAAGGAAATTGAGGAGCATTGCATCCGTTCGCAGGGTAGAGTGAATGCAAAACAGATCATGTGTGATTATTTGTCAAGCGTCCACAATGCTAAGCTAATTAGCTATGTTATATTTGATCCAATAACCCCTTACAGAGATCATATTCCCAGTTTGTAAATCAAGATGCACATTTAGATGCACAGCTGGTTGGTTTGCAGGGAGGAAGCGTGCCAATTGTTTCTGCCCAATGATCTCTGGCTTATTGCTAATACTCATCATTCTGCATATGTCTGTCAAATGACGTTTTGGCATGGGATATTACAGCAGGGGTCGCCATGATATAAGGCTAATCTTTGAGTGCATCAGAACAGAATTAATGGTATACAGTCAGTTTGCCACCTTTAACCGTCCGTGTTCCTCATCTCTCTGTCTCTCTCTCTCTCTTCCAACAGGCACCTGTCGCAAACACACCCCCTGTGACTGCCATAGGGGCCAAAGCTGTCATAGGAGGGGCGGCCCAGCCTGCAAAAACACCTCAACCCCCACTCACAGGAATAGGTAAGTATTCCTGTCTGCACCCACACTGCTGCTGCTCCACCCACTGAACATTTCACTGAGAGTGATTAGTACACTTGTACTCTCCTAGGCATTAGACCATGTGTCAAACTCAGTCCAAGGAGGGCCGAGTGTCTGCAGGTTTTCGCTCCTCCCTTGTACTTGATTGATGAATTAAGGTCAATGATTAGTAAGGAACTCGCCTCACCTGGTTGTCTAGGTCTTAATTGAAAGGAAAAACCAAAACCCGCAGACACTCGGCCCTCCTTGGAATGGGTTTGACACCCCTGCATTAGACAGACAGACGCACATACGTAATCAGGTATCACGGGTGTCCTGTTTAATCCCAGGGATTAATCCTGAGAATGCCTTGGGAAGCTGATGGATAATCTTAACTCAGGAAACAGAGAGGATAGGTTCATTTCCATGTCATGGCTCAATTGGGTTGGTGTTCACATGCTCCAGTAGTCTATACGGTCCCATCACCTTCACCTCACTGACAGCTGCAGAGACAGTTGTGTTGTGGAAACAGACACCAGGGTCAGAGTCAGTGTGTAAACCTGTGTGGCCTTTTAAGCGCCATGGGGTATCAGATTGAGGTGTAAATCTGATGCAGTCATCTCCTGATAAATGCAATGGCTTCAGACTGTTGTGATAGTGTGCACTAAAACGGAGTATGGCATCAACTGAATTATAAAGAATGTCTTTCTAATCATCATCTCTCTTCCTCCCCTCTCCCTCCATCCTGCAGGCTCCAAGGCTGCCCCTAGACCCGGTGGCATCGGGAGTGCAGCAGCAGGGCAACCTGGGATGGAGGGGGAGAGTCTCCTCTCCAAGGTCCTGCCAGGAAACCCTGCGGAGGCGGCAGGAAAACTAGGAGAAGGTGTCTTGCTGGAGTTCAGACTCCATGTTTTTACTCAGACTCTAATGCATTCTACTTGCTACAATATGCTTAATCACTCTCCTGTCTGTCTTTCTCTCTCTCTTTGTTTATCCATCAGCTATCTCCGGTTTTGGCAAGAAGTTCACCTCGTTGTGGTGAGGTGTTGAGATGAGGGTAAGTGTTCACCTGGCACTACCAAGTAGAAAGCCTTAACACAGTCTGTGAGATGACAGTGTGCTCGGCTATATACAGAACCCCTTTACCTCATGATATTCCTTTCCCCACTGAGTGTGGGTGGTTCTGTTTATTCCCCAAACAACTTTGTGCCATTTTTGGAGGTCTTAAGTGCACTTTGTGCAGGTTTGAGTGTCTCTCCTTAGTACTGAACTAGGATTTTAGAACAGTATGACAGCTCACCTCAGTAAGTAACAAGTAAGTGACTCACCGTCATGTGATTTCAGGTGTCTGTAAATGTTATGGAGGATGTCGTGAGGCTTCGTACCAGAAAAACCTAGGAAGACCCCCGCTTTGTGAGCGAGAGAGAGGAAGGGAGAAATACAGCAACCAAGAGAAGATATCTGAGCGCACTGGTGAGTTCAAAATCTCTATTTCCTGTTGAAAGCTCCCTCATTTTCAGAAAACTACATAGAAACCTACTTTGTAAAGTGGCTTTATTGTAGTGTAATACTTAAAAACATAAATGAACTTGTAAACACATACAGTGTATATTTCAAGTTGCAGCATTTTAAAATACAATTGGAAAAGATGAGCAAACCTGACATGATCATGATCGATCAGCTCAAGATTGATTGATTCTGGTTTTTCCCACTCTCATTCAGCCAATGAGGACATGAATCAATGGATGCTGCATGTCCCAGGCCTACGCACACGATGGCAGAGAAACAATGCTGATTTCTCTGGCCGGCCAGACAGTAAGTAATGCACACAGACACATCAGAGACAACTTAGATTAGATAAAGAAGGACGGTGTATACCTTAGTAATACACTAATGACACAATAATCATAACAAAACAATGATCATTATTTACTATTATAGTCAATTATGAAGTGATGGTATGGTAAAGGTTTAGTTCACAGCAAAGTTAGATATTAGATAAATCTCCATATCTTAATATGTTGCAGTTAAGTCACTCCTGCTATTTTTTGCATATAGTAGGCCTATCCTGTTTACAGCAAAACAATACTGCGCCTTGTGTTAACCCTGCCATGAACACTGACCCTTGACCCCTTGACTCTCTGTCAGCCTCTGCATGAGTAACAGCCATATTACTGTGACATCAATACAGGCAGTGAAACTTCCAGCTCCAGGTCACGTTTCAATGGGAAACCAGGGCTAGAGAAGAGTCTGAGAAGGGCTCAATGTCCAACATATGTAATACAACCCTCATGAAGAGTGTTGATCTTACCTCAGAGGGTTAATATAAGGCACATTAATATACTCTATTTATTAGAGATAGCATGTAATCTAGGGCAAATTCTACCTACACTTGTCTATGGAATTGTATCATTATTTTTGGCAGTGTTAGCACCATTTGTTATCTTGTAAGTCTTTTACCAGTTTATAGAGAGCATAGAAAACAACAGATTTGATGCTAGTATCTGTTTGCGCTGGTGTCTGTTTTTAACTGAACAACAGACTTCTCTTGTGGCTCAACTGCAGTCATTTTATATCAGAAAGCCTTAGGAGACACATAGTTCAACAAAATGCTCTACCCTCAAACATTTATAGTTAGGGTATTGCTACCTTCTGGCTAGGCCCCGGTTTTTAATAATGCATCAGTGAGGTCGATAAAGGGAGTTATCCGGTTATGAACTGGACTGATCATATTCACAGAGAACAGAGAGCACGCTCTCTGATTATATACAGGCTCTTTGGCCGGTAACAGTATCCGTGGATGGATATGAGGTTCAGTGACATGGTAATGTTTGTCATAAGACTGTGTATCCATCAACCTCCCCTGGGACCCCTTCTTCCCCCCTCCCCAGCCAACATACAGTATAGACTGTAGACCTCTCAACTCCTCACTGTTCATCCACTAAATGTGCAGTTGGCTATAGTTGACCTGTTTGGTAAAGTAACCATGTCAAGTACACCACTAGGCCTAGCAGCAGTTCTAACTGGAGTTCAACCAGGGACTATTCTCCACCATATAATATACTCCCTTCTCTTCTCTCTACCTCCTCTTCCTCCTCTCTCTACCTCCTCCTCCTCTCTCTACCTCCTCCTCCTCCTCTCTCTACCTCCTCCTCCTCTCTCTACCTCCTCCTCCTCCCTCACTCCTCCTCTCTACCTACCTCCTCCTCCTCTCTCTACTCCTACCTCCTCTCCTCTTCTGTCTACCTCCTCCTCCTCCTCTCCTCCCCCCCTACCTCCTCCTCTCTCTACCTCCTCCTCCTCCTCTCTCTACCTCCTCCTCCTCTCTCTACCTCCTCCTCCTCCTCCTCCTCTCTACCTCTAACCCTCCCTCCTCCTCTCTCTACCCTCCTCCCCTCCTCCTCCTCCCTCTCGACCTCCTACCTCCTCTCTCTACCTCCTCCTCCTCCTGCTCTCTCTCCTCCTCCTCCTCCTCTCTACCTCCTCCTCCTCTCTCTCTCTCTACCTCCTCCTCCTCCTCTTCTGTCTACCTCCTCCTCCTCTCTCTACCTCCTCCTCCTCTCTCTACCTCCTCCTCCTCCTCCTCTCTCTACCTCCTCCTCCTCCTCTCTCTACCTCTCCTCCTCCTCTCTCTACCTCTCTCCTTCTCCTCCTCTCCTCCTCCTCCTAACCTCCTCTCTCCTCTCTCCTACCCTCCTCCCTCCTCTCTCTCTACCCCTCCCCTCCTCTCCTACCTCCTCCTCCTACCTCTCTCCTACTCCTCCTCCTCTCTCTACCTCCTCCTCCTCCTCTCTACCCTACCTCCTCCTCTCCTCTCTCCTCTCTACTCCTCCTCCTCTCCTCTAACCTCCTCCTCTCCTCTCCTCCTCCTCTCTACCTCCTCCTCTCTCTCTAACCTCCTCCTCTACTCCTCTACCTCAACCCCCTCAAGCTCCTCCGCTATTCTGTGCTCACTCGAATGCCACCGGCACTTTCCTCTCCGTAGCGCGTGAAACCAAAACAGACCGTGACTAATGGAGGAGCAGACAGAGCGACGACTCTGTTGACTCTGTCTGATCAAACTCTATCTCGTAACGGCTCTCTCCTATTTTCTACTCTGCTCTCTGTCTGACTCTCTCTCTCTCCTACCCTCCTCCTCCTCTTCTGTCTACCTCCTCCTCTTCTCTCTAACTCCTCCTCTTCTCTCTACCTCCTCCTCCTCTCTCTACATCCTTCTCCTCCCCTATAATAGACTTCACATCACGCAGTAGTAATGCATGATTGCTTTGCGACATCGAAAATGCCAACCGGCACTATTATATACCTCTCCAGAGTAATTGCGGTGAAACCAAAACAGACCGTGACATAATGGAGGAGCAGACAGAGCGACGGCAACATTTGTTGATCTTTGTGACAGTGATCAGAGACTTTATGGTCGTTTAGAAGAGGGCGTTCCTGATTGGTTTTAATTGTGTTGTGAAGTTGTTCATTTTGAAGATCTGATCGGTGGTAATCAGACCCTGTATCTGTGCCAAGTTTACATGATCAGCTCTCCTAGAGAATAGTTGAGTCCTGATAAATGCAACTGCTTGGGACCGTTGTGACAGGGTGCACTAAACCAGAGCATGCACTTTTAAGGGGTGATTAAAACAAAACATGTTGAATTGGGACTAGAAAACTTTATTGCACTTAGACATAGTTTGCACTCATCCAAAGAACAGTTATCAGGAGTGGACTGTAGAGCAGATAAGGCAGAGCAGAGCAGCACTTGTACCTTGGTGACGTCTGAGCCCTGCTCTCCCATGGTACCTATTGAGGTCCAACACACACACTGGTACGTACAGGAACACACACACTGGTACGTACAGGAACAAACACATTGGTACGTACAGGAACACACACACACTGGTACGTACAGGAACACACACACACACTGGTACGTACAGGAACACACACACTGGTACGTACAGGAACACACACATTGGTACGTACAGGAACACACACACACTGGTACGTACAGGAACACACACACACACTGGTACGTACAGGAACACACACACTGGTACGTACAGGAACACACACATTGGTACGTACAGGAACACACACACACTGGTACGTACAGGAACACACACACTGGTACGTACAGAAACACACACACTGGTACGTACAGGAACACACACACTGGTACGTACAGGAACACACACACTGGTACGTACAGGAACACACACACACTGGTACGTACAGAAACACACACATTGGTACGTACAGGAACACACACACACTGGTACGTACAGGAACACACACATTGGTACGTACAGGAACACACACACTGGTACGTACAGGAACACACACATTGGTACGTACAGGAACACACACACACTGGTACGTACAGGAACACACACACTGGTAGGTACAGGAACACACACACACTGGTAGGTACAGGAACACACACACACTGGTACGTACAGGAACACACACACTGGTACGTACAGGAACACACATAAATATTTATGAATTGACCACTACGCTCACAGAGGCTTCCTTCTACCACAGTGGAGAGAGAGAGAGAGAGAGAGAGAGAGAGAGAGAGAGAGAGAGAGAGAGAAAGGATGATGTACAGAAGGTATCATGTTGTTATCTTAGTAAAGATGTTCCTGAAGCTAACATAATGTCTCCCTACTAACACAGTTAAGCGTGGTTGATTTTCTACTAGAAATGATTTGAGATGAGTGTGTAACTGATCCGTTATACATCGATAACATACTGTATATCCATCAGGTTCAGTTGTCAGCAATGGCAGTGTGCTGCCTGAGACAGACCCATGCTGTATCTGTAGTGCAAGGTGGTGCAGCCAACCATGTCATGATGAATAACCGCCTCATGTGACCACAGCCCCAGTCTGTCTGTTTCTCTCAGCATAGACATTGGTGCTGCTAACTGAATGAATGTACCGTAGACCATCTTGAGTGTTTATGCCAGATTCAGTGAGAGAGACGACAGGCTTCCATGCTCTTATAATCACAATATTCAATGATTATTACTGTTACTATTTTGTTAAATACGTTTTACTGAGGATAAACTGAGTGTAATGTCATGGAGATGCAGTATAATTACGTAACCTGCACAGACCTCATTACAGTGTACAGTTCAGTCCTGCTTTTCTTCTGCTCTTCTGCCATCTAGTGTTGAATCATAGAATTTCACTCTGTTCTAATCTTATGTTCACATGTGCATGTAATTGAAGGGTTGATTTAGACATCTCATCGCCACAGAATGACTTCAGTGATGTCACATGTTCCTCTGTCATTCATTGGAGATCCATTTTATTTATTTACTCTGTCATTTAGCCTGTAGTGAGCTACTCATAGGATACCAGTCACATTACTTTGTTTTACTTCTGCAGAATGGTTTGAGGCCCCCAGACTGCAATGCCCCCAGCCAAAGAACCAGGACACTGACACCCGAGCCCCCCAGAACACCTAAGCCATCGGATCACAAGCCCTGAGGAGCCCTCCAGAGAGAGGCTAGCTGGATAGAGAGCCTGGTCCCTGCCACTGTCTGGGTCTTCACCACCAGGATGTCACTTCTCAAGGACCATCACCTCCCAAACAGCCATTATCCTTTGGGGAATGGGCTCTATACTAAGGAAAACTCCATCCAGCTGCTCTGTAGGAGGATGGGAGGGGGCCACAGTACTGTGACCCCCCAACACGCTGATGATGCTATCCTCTAGTCTGTGGGCTGCTGTGCTGCTGCCTGCTGGGGGTCGTAACAGACGTGGCCATTGTGGCATGGTAAGATCCTTGATTCCATAAGCCTGTGCTCAGATTAAAAAACACAGACACACTCTCCTCTCATCTCTGAAAAAGAAATGTACACTTAAGCGCTTCATAGGTTTTTCTGGTACTAAAGACTTCCTGTTTCATGTGGATGCTGAAAGAAGAGGAAAAAGACGATGACTAGGTTGACAGAAGCTAGGAGGAAGTCTCCACGGTTTGCTCTGTTTTTATCTCTACATTCCAGAATGGAAAAAGGCCCCGTTTTTTTATGCTGACTCGTTCTTGTTTCATTTTTTTCCCTCTAGCGATGTGTCTAAGAAGTGTATAGTGGATTTAGGATTCGGAAATGCATGGAACTTTATATCCAAGACCTTACACTGTTCACCAATTCAATCACAGAGGCCATAAGACACTGGTTAATAATAATAATACTGATAAAAATGCTCCAAAACAAGACGAGGAGAACACAACACTGAATCTGGCCACAGGATGGGAGAATCATCATTCGGGAGGTTTTGATTACACCATGAGAGCCGAATGTGGCCAGGTTTGTTTTTTAGCCATTGCAAAGCCATTAATAAGAAAAAAACATCCCCAGAACGTTTGGGTTCCTGGTGTTTCTGAACTTTCCCACAACGTTTGGGTCTCTGTTTTTTTTACGACTCAGTTTTTTGTTCTGGTTCTGTATTTGCCAGATTTTCTGTTACAGGATAGCGGATTCGCCTTAATCATTCCATTCTTTTTTATTTAGAGTAAAGTTACATCTTATTTTTTTACTCCATATTCTGTCCATAAAGCTTATTTTAATTGCAGACTTTTTTATGTAATAATGATGTCCGCTGGAACACTGGCTGCGAGATTAATTTCACCTTTAAGTTTGTAATCATTTATAGTATGTATTTTTTCATAATTATTTGTGTTTATGGTTGCCATAATCATTGATTACGTTATTTATGATTATTAATAACGAAAAAGCAATAGTATGTGGAAGGAAATCAGTAAAGAGCACAATCTTGTGTCATTTTACAAATCGTTAGTCAGGAATGTGTTGCCTATGTATATCTGATTTGTGCGATATTCTGCTATCACATCTTAACAGGGCCATACCTGGGTCGTATTCATTAGGCACCAAACGAAATAAAAAACTGACAAACAGGGAGGGACTACCTGAAATTGTCCAATAAGAAATGCTCATTTTCCGTTGCAAAACGTATTGCTGCGGTGTGCTCTAATAAATCCAACCTTGGAAGTCCAGTCAAGGCACATCATATCTGCCTATTATGATACGTGAGCACTGCAAGACAGCAGAGAGGCACTGAATACAAACCAGTGCAAATCACCATTGTATCTGACTTGAAGTAGTTTAGCATTCTTTTGTTGACTGCCATCATCATTGGGTTTTCATGTTTTCTGACTTTCTACAGACTTTTAACATCTGAAGCACCATCAAAGGGGAAAGAGAAATACCTTACAGACATGTAGTGCATATTGGCTATGTGTTTCAAATAGACTGAGGATGTTACACTGGAGAGACACCTACTCTGCACACACTCACATATGGCTGCGGGCAACAGTGCATGTATGAGTTATGTGCGAGGTAGTAAAAGGTGTTTGGTGCATTAGACACTGAAGCGTCAAAGATACAGCACAGTTGGTTCAGTCAAGACAGTTTTTTGCCTTTGTTTTTGCAACCAAACTGAAAACCCCAAAATGTTGACGATTGTCACGAAAACCTCTCAGGTCAGTGTTCTTCCTGCTGTTCTTTGCAGTGCAGCGTGTGTAGTAGTGGTACTGGTCATGCACTCAGACGCTAGAGGCCTACTGACGGGAGCCCAAACGTGATGTATATTCTCTCTCTCTTTCTCTTTCTGTGGTTGCTGGAATCAAGCATGCTCTGGCAAAACCTCAGTAACAGTCACTTCTGTATCGTTACGTTCCTGATGTCTGTATGTGTGTGAGTACTGTATGGGTGTGTTTCTCACCATCCTACTACAAAACAAACCAATATCTGGCAAATAAAACAAGTGTGCGGTCGACGGCAACTTTTACATTTCAAACGTTCTATGCAATTAATCATATTTTGGGGAAATAATAGGGAAGAAAGAAGCTAACTGAACAACACGATCGTTGTCATGGCAGAGAAAAATTTTCTTCCTTTTAGCATTCCTGCTACAAAAATGGATTGACTTGTTTGTAAATAGCTACAATATGTGTACGTCAGGAATTTGATGTGATGTTTTTATTTTATTTCTTTTTAGTGGCACGTTTCAAACCCCTCACTGAAAATTGGGACCGTTTGCCAACTTGTTAACTACATAGGCACCCTAAAATGGCACACTATTCCTATTAGTGCACTATAGGCTGGCTATAGGGAATCAGGTGCCATTTTGGATGCAGAATAGTGTCAATAAAGTCTGCCATCTTATTGCTTCAAGCATGGGTTGCTGGGTACAGTGAATGGTCTTGTACATCCAGTACAGTGCAGAAGACCCCATTTTTGTTGGATGGCCACGGATTCCAATATTTGGCTGCTAGTTTGTGCACTTGTTATTCCATAGAATAGAATGAAGCTGCTAAAGAATTAAGCCAATTCTATAAAGAGATTACATATATAAATATGTAAAACAAATACAATATAATAAATATATATATATAACACATATTTCAGAAATGACAAGCACTTTTCATGATCAAAGGGATTGACCTGGTGTGTGTACACTGCCACTACCTATTAACATATGATATTCAAGAAGTTTGAACGTTGATGGGAGGCTGCTGGCACGACAGAGCTTGTTTCCTTTCAGTGAGCCCACCGAAAACCATTGTAGGTTATTTGGCTTGAAGGATCTTCGGAGGCTTTAGTGTGAAAATCCCTTAACCCACAACTCACTCTGTACAGTAACTGCTGTTTCAAGTATGGGCGATTATTTCAATGTAAAAATGTGGAGATATTTTTATGGCATACTTTAATGGAATATCTATACACAAATATTATTGTATCATACAGTTAGAACCCTATGAAGTTTATGGAATAGAATGATGATCATATCAATATTGTCCTACTGTACCTGTTGCAAAGGCCTCCTTACAGTAGATAGACACTGGCATGAAAGCACCTCACAGGCTCACTGCCATTAGAACAAACTAGAGACAGAAAGTCACTGTCAGTGAATGGATTATCAGATATGTAAATGAGATAGAGATAATAATGAAGTTGTAAAAAAAGAAAGGAACCAATATTGATCAAAATCCTATGACTTGTTTATGTTGGAAAGAGTTTGTAACTGTGTTCAATCACTTTTCCTCAGGAAAGCACACACAAAATGCACTGTGGTGAAATGAAATAGGACGTTAATATGCATAGTAGTAAGGGCTTATTATTACAATACTGGTCAATCAAGAAAGCCTTTTATTACTGCCCCATCCAGTCCTAAGTCTACTCTGGATTGCATGTGCTTTGGACCACAGCATTTTGTCAGGGACAAATAAAACACCCATGTCTTTTCTTACGTCAACCAAAAATGGTGATTTTAAAGTAAGCATAGAAACTGCGACTATCTGCCCTTGCTGAGGGTCATTGTGGATGGCTATGCACAGTGAACAACAACAGGACCTGCTGAGGGTCATTGTGGATGGCTATGCACAGTGAACAACAACAGGACTTGCTGAGGGTCATTGTGGATGGTTATGCACAGTGAACAACAACAGGACTTACAGTGGGGAAAAAAAGTATTTAGTCAGCCACCAATTGTGCAAGTTCTCCCAATTAAAAAGATGAGAGAGGCCTGTAATTTTCATCATAGGTACACGTCAACTATGACAAACAAAATGAGGAAAAAAAATCCAGAAAATCACATTGTAGGATTTTTCATGAATTGATTTGCAAATTATGGTGGAAAATAAGTATTTGGTCAATAACAAAAGTTGCTCAATACTTTGTTATATACCCTTTGTTGGCAATGACACAGGTCAAACGTTTTCTGTAAGTCTTCACAAGGTTTTCACACACTGTTGCTGGTATTTTGGCCCATTCCTCCATGCAGATCTCCTCTAGAGCAGTGATGTTTTGGGGCTGTCGCTGGGCAACACAGACTTTCAACTCCCTCCAAAGATTTTCTATGGGGTTGAGATCTGGAGACTGGCTAGGCCACTCCAGGACCTTGAAATGCTTCTTACGAAGCCACTCCTTCGTTGCCCGGGCGGTGTGTTTGGGATCATTGTCATGCTGAAAGACCCAGCCACGTTTCATCTTCAATGCCCTTGCTGATGGAAGGAGGTTTTCACTCAAAATCTCACGATACATGGCCCCATTCATTCTTTCCTTTACACACAGATCAGTCGTCCTGGTCCCTTTGCAGAAAAACAGCCCCAAAGCATGATGTTTCCACCCCCATGCTTCACAGTAGGTATGGTGTTCTTTGGATGCAACTCAGCATTCTTTGTCCTCCAAACACGACGAGTTGAGTTTTTACCAAAAAGTTCTATTTTGGTTTCATCTGACCATATGACATTCTCCCAATCCTCTTCTGGATCATCCAAATGCACTCTAGCAAACTTCAGACGGGCCTGGACATGTACTGGCTTAAGCAGGGGGACACGTCTGGCACTGCAGGATTTGAGTCCCTGGCGGCGTAGTGTGTTACTGATGGTAGGCTTTGTTACTTTGGTGCCAGCTCTCTGCAGGTCATTCACTAGGTCCCCCCG